TCCCTTCTCATGAGCGTAATAAACGTGGCTTATGAGAGGAGGTCATTTGGCCAGCCATTTGGTTACTAGTAACTGATGCAAGGATCACACCCAGGCATTAGCTAGCTGTTTCAGGCTGTTAAAGTGTGAGCTGGATTGTAAACCTTTAGCCACTGGTCTGGCTGTCCAGGACCAGGATTAGGGTCCTGTGGTTTAATGCAAGCTGCACACAGAAGTGAGATGCAGTGTTGTAGCAAGACAGACTGTCCTTCCTTTGCATCCTGCATTATGTTAATCACTGGACTGAAAAAGGAGGCACTAGCGTTGCTGCAGTCTTTTCAAGACAAGTCACACTGGAGGTTGAGGAAGGTTCACCCTTGAATTTTTCCTGCAGTGTTGTTGTTGATACCTTGTCTTCCTGCAAGAAACAGCTGGCCAGGGTCCTTGGCTTAGTTCACTACCAAACGGGCTGGATGGACTGACTGGCCTTCTCTCGTTGGATCTTTAGTGCTTTTCATTTCTTCCTGTTGAAGCTCAGTTAATTGTAACCGAAATTTCCTGACGCTTGTTGTTCAACAGAATAGTTAGACAAGGTCTGGGTTTCTCCTAGCGCCTTCCTGAGATCAGGGAAAGATACGCTCATTGTGCTGGTGAGAATGCAGTGTGATGGCGGGGACTAAGGAGACAGCGGAATGCTAACATAGGTGTGGATGTCTCCATGCCCTCTGTTTGCCTTGCAGGTTTCACTGGTGGGGTTCCTGTTTTTGCTTGGACTCTATATTTCCTCCCTGGCGTCCTGTATGGGTGGCCTGTACGGGGCACCCAGAATCCTCCAGTGCATTGCTGAGGAAAGAGTGATACCACTGCTTGGGTTCTTGGGACAAGGGGTGAGTGGACACTGGGAGACTATGAACTGCATTACCTGGAAAATGTATTTGTTTAAAGTATATAAAGGAATGTCTAATAAAAATGTGCTCACTAAATAAAGTAGTACTACTTCTCTGTGGTATTTGACATCTACTCTTTACCAGAGTTAAATTTACCAGAATGAGTAAATTCAGGAAATAATCGCTCTGCGGTTTAAACTAATTTATTTGTTCTTTCTTCATTGCTGTCATGTTTCTAATTATAAGCCCTTTTGATATCCAACAAGCACTCTCGGTCCTTGTCGTTGCCATTCCAGCACAGCGTGTTTTATTACCTAGTAAACCCACAGACGGGTCTCAAGCCGGGGTCTAGTCAGCGATGGCGTTTTTTTGGAAACCTGTGCAGCAGGTAGCTGCTATTGTGAAAGCGTGAGCCTTTATAAATGATGGATCTGGTGATCTTTGCCTTGGTTCAGGGGGGCAATTGAGCTGAGGTTTAATTGGATGAGTTGAGTCATGGATGGAAAGGATGGGGGTGGGGGGTGCAGTTTTAGAGGATGGTGGCTTATATTTCAACGATGCCTATATCTCCAATATCTGAATGAAAGGAAGGAAAAGGTCACCTTATCTTTGCAATAGGAATGAGTTTGCTAAGGAGCAGCCCTTGGTGGGGTAAACTAGTTTAAGAAGGGGTGTACTACTGTGTGTACGAAAGTGTGACCTTTGTGACAGTGAGAAGTGCTGCTGTCTGTGCCTCCTTTCCTGCAATTTTGCACACGCTTTTGTTTTGAAAGTCATGGATTGAAGTAGAATTTTGCAGACCGGGGTGCAGGATAACTGAGACTGGCGATTCCAAATGATGTTTGTATTGTATAATTATTTTCTGACATATGGCTGTCTTTATGCTATTTTTTTTTACTGTTTATTATTATAATATAATTTTTGCTCTTAAAAAGTTCTAATGGGAACATGCCTTCTTTTGTGTGTTGTTATCCTGAATTTCCT